TTCCGGGAAGAGGGCATGGTATAAGGTGCCCACCTTGAAGGCGTCGGTAAAACCATGGTTGGGACACTTGAGGAAAAGACTGGTGTATCTCTCCAAGCATCCCGAATGGTCTCATCTTCATCCTGAGTAAAGTGGGTGATTTGCTTCTGCAGGTTCGCCGTCTTGGACGAAGGATGGTAGCGGGTGAGGAACTTGTCCGCCAGGTTGGCAAACGTGGTGATCGAGCCTGGAGGTTGAGTGTCCAACCACTCCTTGGCTTGCCCCTCCAGAGTAAACGGGAAGTGCCTGAGCTGGATGGCATCAGCTGGGACCCCATTGATCTTGATCCCATCGATGAGCTCGTGGAATCACCTCAGGTGTGATCAGGGGCACTCCCCCTCCTTGCCACGGAATACCACCGAGCCGTGCAGCATGGTGATGACAGAGGTGCTCACCTCAAAGTTATTTGCTGGAACTTGAGGGTGCTGGATGGGCGACCTCATGTCCGCGGCTCTAGCGGTCCAATAGTACCCCATGGTCTGCTGCTCGGGAAAGACCACATCTTTGTTCTGTGGTTCACCCATTTCTTCCTCCTCGGTGATTTGCAGTTGTGCTAGAGCCTCCTCCGCAGCCAGTCGCGCCTTTAAAGCTCGCTTGAAGTTCCTGCAAGTCCGTTCAACCTCTTGGTCTAATGGCAGTAAATCTCCTGACTGGCTACGAGTCATGCACTACCTGCACGCAGTCAGCAAAAGCAACCAGTGAAGGCACACAGGTGGAAGAGAGAAAATGCTAAAGTAATAAACTTTCACGTTTCCACAATAACCTAGAGTTCCCCAGCAACGGCGCCAAAAACTTGACACGCTAAAACACAACACCAAACTGCGACCAAGTGTAATCGCAGTCCGGAAATGCAGTAAGTGGCAAGCTCTATTTGTCAACCCGGGGTCTAGATCTACTACCTACTTAGTGATTATCTATTATCTAGCAAACTAAGTCGAGTGATTGTGATTTTAACTAAAAGCAGTAAGAAAGTAGGAAATGATTCAAAGTTCTTTAGCAAGGGAAGAGTCACTCGGGAATGAGTCCCCCTAGCTCCTTAGTTAGGTCAAGGTTGTAATTACCCTGGATTGATTAACTGTTGATTAAACTGCGGAAGATCCGACAGTAGCATGAAATCTCTTAAGCTGACCAAGCCCTCTCAGGCAGGCTAACCGACAGGAAACTAACCTTCACCAGATAGACTGCTGAGGCAATAAGCCCAAAACTCCACTACTGGAATTGGGTTCCAGTACAAAGCAGTAAATCAATTAACTCTCGTAAATTGATTAGTTGGACAGAGATTTGGTTAGGATGGAGGAGGTAGCTCTGAAGGATTACAAATTGAAGTTGACAGCCAGATTTTTGGAACTGGTTTCACACCAAAAGAGATGATCAGGCTTAGAGGAATTCTACATATGTCAAATTCATCCTCCCCAACCTCTCCACAAAGTCCAGTAATCAATCACAGAGTACATTCAGTCAATACTTATCTCCCACAGTTTCCAAACTCTGGAGGTAATATGTTCTCTCTTCCTATCTGAATCATAGCAATGCATCTTTGGCAACTACATGGATACTGGATATAGGTACCTCAGACCATATTGCTTGTTCCTAATGAAGATCAGTTCACTTTAACGTTTCGAAGTGAGGGAGTGATCGATTTATTCCGGGCAGATTATTAATAGTGGTTAGCACGTATCAATAAATACCCCCATCATAGGCCAAGTTTACCCTAAAATGGCATTATTTATAATGGCAATCAAGGTCGTATTCACTCGGGTCCCGGTACCCTAGTCTACTTCCCACGTTGTTGTTACCTAGCCGATCAGTTTAAGGGTTTGTGTTGGAGGATTCAAGCGAAATAACTAGTAGAGAGAGTAAATAAAGATAAAAGTAGGTACTTCGGGTAACTACCCTCACCCTAGCCTAGGTCTACTATGCAATGTCTTGATAAGTAGGGTTTGTCGAATGTAATGAGTGAGCTCTTTTTCATGGACTTTCATGGTTATCCACACGCCTTCGAGTACGCCTCTCCCAAACCCATGCCAGTCACCTCGATCTAGGTTATCGTATCTGGGGCATTAAGAATATAGCTAATTTCAATGGGTACTACCCACCATCCACATCGAGGTTTTATCCTAGGTTCTATCTAGGAAGACATTTCTTTGACAGGGGTACGGTCGTCTCGCCCACCATATATATCATATTCATTCATCCAGCCTTAATTTGCTTGATGGCGGATACCCGTCTAACCCTGAACTCCATACCTAGCATATAAGCTCAAGTAGGCTAGTAGAGAAGATTAGGGCAACTTACCCAAACACAATCAAAGCTAGAGAAACAATGAAATCAGCTAGATAAACACATTTATTTATTAAAACCCTAAAATATTCATTCATTACATAATAACCCTAAAACTAGGGTTTGAGATTTACAACCCATAGTACCTTAGAGGACTCATAAAGGAGGGAAGAAGATACATAGAAGAAATGGGGGAAGACTTGATGTTGAGGAAGATGAATCCTCTCTTCTAGCTCCTCCTCCTTCTTCTCCTCTTCTCCTTCCTTTAGATTCTTTCTCTTCTTTCTCTCTCTAACCATAAATTTCTATCTCAAAATCATCTCTCTCAAATGGGGAAAGAGGGTCATCTATTTATAGCGTTTAGAGGACGAGCAAGTTCACGGCCAGGAAGGGTGAAGATCGCAGTCGCGATCTTCTTCATTGAGACCGTGATCTATTGATGTTGCCATTTTGGCCTTCAAACGTGAGGGGTTCTTGGGCTGACTTCGTGGTCGCGATCGGTGAGTCGCTGCCTCGAGCTTCCTCTCGATCAATGTGAACTGTGGGTGTGATCAGACTGGGGAAACTCTATGTTTCTCCTCGATTGGCTTCTTCATGAAGTTTGTTCCTAAAGTCCGTAGATTCGCGGCCGCGATCTTGGGCTCTGAGGTCGCGATCTTCGCCTTGAGTTCGCAGTCTGTGTCTCGGCCGTGATCATCGGCCTTCTGCTCCTTTTGCTACACTTGTGTCCTTTTTCGTACCTAATTCGCATGTATTGTCTAAAGCACCCTAAAATCATATCATAAGGAAATAGAAACGAAATAGGGATGCAATCGATGCTATTCAAACGAGAATGTACCTGAATTATCACGAAACAAACCTAAATAAGAAGGGTAAATAACACCTTAGGTGTTATCAGGGAGCCGTTTTAGATGAAGGAAATTGATGCAAGGAGAAGACGACGACGTTTTCATTATTAGTTAGTTATATTTACGATTTGTTGATTTGGACGAATGGTGTTAGGCCACGTCAAAGTTACTGTTACCAAACAGTAAAATTTGAATGGTATAAATAACATAAACGCAACATCACTACAGTCGAGTATTTCCCAATTCTTATCCTCTTCCTCTTTAAAGTTTTCATTTGTTTGCCCGACAAATCATAAATCCTTTTCCTGTTAATGTATTGTAAATTGGATAAGCCCCAAACCTAAGAATGCATTAAGAGCCATTACCAATTTAGGCAAAGAGTGTCGAAGCGGGAGCGGATCCTATCAATAACTCTATGGTGAGTAACCATGAGTAACCCAATCAAAATCCACCACATAATCACTCCTCTCTCTCTCTCTCTCTCTCTCTCTCTCTCTCTCTCACTCATTAAAAGCTTTTAATCTTTGCACCTTGAATCTTTAACGGACGATTTCTCTCTCGTTTTAAGTCGGATTTTTTTTACACAGTTAAATCAGATTAATTGTGTTCTTCAAAATGATATTCACTTTAATATATTTTTTAATAAAAAAATAGAGGTATTTTTATCGGTCTATACCATGGTGGTATTGATTGGTATTAAAATAAGAGCATACCATATGGTATGAACAACATACCATGGTGATATGAACATACCAAGACTATAGGATGGTTGACTACATGATAGTAAAAGTATACTAACTGTCATTTACGATTTACAACATTGTGTACCACAAGATACTACCCCTATACCAGGATGGTATTATGTGGTATTTTTTTGTCCTCTATTTTTTTCACCCATAAATTTTTAGATCTAATAGATCATGACGAAATCGTTCATTTTGTGCAAAATTTTTCAAAAACTACTTAAAAACGAATGAGATACCATATGGTTTGGAGTTGGTAGCGAGAAGTAGTGAAATTTTTTTCTCACAAATATTAAAGATTGATCTCATTTTGTAGAGCACAACAAACTCGTTTCATCTGTTCAAAAAAAATTAAAATCCGAGGTAGAACGAAGTAGATAAGAGTCGATTAACAAAGCTAGAAAAAAAATGAAATGCCTTTAATTCCCGGTCCTTAGATTTGAATTTTCTAGGCCCACTAAAAAAGGAAGATTCATATTTAGTTATGCATGGAAGATTTTTTTCACAGAATACACACGTTCTTAAAAAATTTCTCAAAATACACACGTTATAATTTTTTTTTTCAATCTACACATGTTTGGGCTTTCACCGCAGCCGACCAAAGCGGTGAATGCTTGACCTGCGTTGAAACTTCAAACGAACGTAACTTTGCACTCGGTTATCCGATCGTAGCGGAATTTTTTTTATTCCGTATAATTATTCAAGATCTTGCAAGCCACAAACAGGCGTAGGCGGTTGGGTCTCGCCTTCGTCCCGAAAATACGTTGTTTGCTACCCTAAACAAGCAATTTTTCGATTTCGCCAGACTTTGACCGGTCATAATTTTGTGTTCCCTCAATCCAAACGTTATGAATTTTTTTTTCACATAACTTTTTAAGGACTACAACTTTACGTTCATTTGAAGTTTCAACCAAGGTCAGACATTCACTGCTTTGATCGGCTGCAGTGATGCATTCACCGCTTTGGTCGGCCACAGTAAATGCGCAAACATGTATAGATTGATAATTTTTTTTTTAATAACATGTGTATTTTGAGGTTTTTTTTTAATGTGTTTATTCTGAGGAAAAAACCTATAAATGATTATACAACCTAACTTGAGGTGTGTTGGAAGACCAATATACTATTCAGTCTCCATTCAAATAATGCTCTCCAGTCTCCGCTCGGTTTAGCCGGTGACTTACCTTTTTTTGGTAAGTAAAAAAAAAGAAAGGAGGAAGGAAGTCTCTTGGGTTGGGTAACACTAGAACTGTATAACAGCAGAAAGCACTGAGAAATGCAGGACGCTCTATCGGAGCCTCTCGATCTCAAAGCAATTCGGAGGTCTCTCGAAGTCATTCAAGCTTCTTACTCTACCTAGCTTCCTATATGCTTACCAGTCGCCGTCTTTTGACTTGTTTTCCCTTTTCTCCTTCACTCCCTGCAGTCGAATTAGTGAGCTTGAAGAAGTTTACCGGAGCTTCAATGACGAGGACATGGTGTCTTCGGATTCAGACAAGTTGATGATTGACAGCGCTCTTCAGCCGGAGGTATAAAATTCTCTATTCATTGGGTATTACAACTATGCTCAAACTTCGGTCTTCCATTTTCTACATCTGTGTTCTTCAGTTTCAGAGCAGAGTCGACCAGGTTTTGTCGGGTCTCTCCGACGTCAGTTTCTTAGGGATTTCAGATTTAGGTAAGGTTTCACTCCAATGGAAATGGTGATTTTGTGGTGGTGTGTCTGTGTGTGAATAAAAGCTTCAGAGAAGCCCTGGTTAACTAGTGCTGTTTTAACTTATCGGCGAGAATTGACTTACTGGTGTAGATGCATACTTAGAGCACTTGAGGGAGGAGCTCACCGCGGCGGAGGCTGATAGTGCTAAGATCACTAGTGAAATTGAAGCTATCAATAGGACCAATCTCCAAGGTTGACTGACACTAAAGATCCATGCTTTGAAACACTTGTATTAATAAGAAATTTTTAACGAAAATTGATCTGTTTTATGATGCTTCTTCTTCTTCTTCTTGATCTTCTCTTTCAGATTCCAGTCAACTAGAGAGGGATCTTGAGGAGTTGAAGTGTTCATTGGACCGTATTTCTTCAGAGGTTTGCTTGTAATGCTTTGTTCGTATAATATTCTCGAAATGATAGCATTATTGGTCTTGATTGAATTTACTTATGACACTTTGAGAGCTGGAGATGAAAGAATTTACTTGCACCGATCTACTCCTAAGCTTGAATTTATGTTTCCAAGGGTTGGGTATTCGGGTTTACCTCTTTGTTGTTTAGATGATTGTCAGTCCTTCTACATAACCATGCAGACTAGAGTCAGGTGCTAGCATTCCTGGATTCAAGCCTTCCAATGCAGCTTTAGGACCTGGAAACTGAAATTGAGAAACTAATTGCTTGCCTTCCTGGATTTGGTCCTTGAAATATAGCACAACTAGGGATTGAGAAAACTGAGACTGAGAAGTTCACATCATGTTTAGATTTCATGTTTTAAAATGGATGCTGAGGGATCACCTACCCTTTTGCTTAATTGGTCTCATTTATGTTTATTATTTGGTAGGATTTACCTCAGGCATATGATGGTGCACGGCCTGCTTACTCACTGCATGAGGATTATCAATCCAATTCATTACAGACAGATCATGATGAGAAGTTTGAGGTATCCTTGCTGTGGTTTATTAATACTGTTTTGATGTCTACAATTGTGTGTGATATGTGAAACTGTCGTTCAGATTATGAAGCTTGAGAATCAGATTGTGGAAATCACGGCAATGTTGAAATCTTTGCAAGATCTCGACTCTTCAGTCAAGAGGTTAGCAATTTGTTTTAGGCTTGTTGTTTGCTCTTCTATTCTTTTACTTAGAAACATTCTTTTTCTTTTGAACATTGCCACCAGGTTTGATGCATTGGAACAAATTGAAAACACATTCTCAGTTCTGGAAGTCATTGAAATTGATGGAAACTGCATTAATTTGTCAGTGAGGACTGATTTCCTGAAATTGGAAGATGTCTTGTGCAAACAAAGAATTGACGATATCAGCGAGCTGTCTGAAGTAGTTCACAACGTTCTCATAGAAGCTTCCAGTGAGACAATGGAACTTAAGAATGTTGAGGTATGAATTCATTCTTGTATGAATTAAAAGATGGTACACAAGCCAGCAGTTTTCAGCCATTTATACAAAGGAATAATCCATCACCATAATGTTCTAGCAGTATCCTTAGCATCTTATTGTGAAATATTAGTGTGCTGAATTTGTATACTAGTCAGGCGGGATCGATTCAGATGTGAAAAGGATTGCATATCTTCATTGAAACTTGCATATGCAACTTATTTGACTACCTGTCCGAACCTTTAGGGTTATGGTTTAATTAATCTTACCTATGGAACTAATCTCAGTGAAGATAAGAATTTGATCATGTTGTCACCTTCAGAGCACCACCTATTACTTGGGTAATATGAAGGCCCAGTATATTCTGACAAGTGCAGTGAAAGTAAACAAGGAGCTTTTGTTGTGCATGTGAACCCATAAATATGTGTTATGTAATAACCAATCCTTAAATGTCTTCATGATATCTGATTTTAAAACCTGGGTATTGCTTGTGAGGAAGGACTAAATAATTGTAAGTGATGTCATATCAACCAAGAAGTTGATGATGATGTTCCATGTTGAGGCTGAATGCAAATGGTTTATGTGACCATAAATGCTGAATTGCCATGGCAATTGAAGTGCACAAGTGCTTTTTCTTGAATGAAGTGCACAGCAGAAAAAGATTCTCTGTTTTTGTTTTTTAATCTTCTGCAACATGAAAGTTTTTGAATATATAAAATGAGGTATTTCATTTCTTGATTCACTTGCTAATTTGTCCAGATTTTTCCGAATGATTTATTCATTGGCGATATCATAGGTGATGCCAATTCATCCAGGTATTCATCTTTTCCTCCAGGCATCCTTCTCCTAAAAGTTTGAGATTTAGATGTTTCTGTTCCTTCCCTCCCATCTCCCCAACCTACATGCACTCCCTTTTGGAGTTGAAAGTATTTGCAGAGAATGCTCTTATCACACTAGTCAATCTGGAATAGCATCATCTATACTCCATCTTTTGCCTGTTGCAAAAGGCGACTGAAGATACCTTAGTTATGTATACTCATGAAAGGTCAATTATTTTCAATCTTCTTGATATTGCTGAATTTTTTTGTTGAATCTTCTGGTTGCAGCCATTCTTTCACACATGGTTCCCTCCCGGGGACAAGTTCCTTACTGCAATGGTTTATAATGAAGCTACTAGACAGAATAAGAGACTGCAATTTAAGAAGATTGGTGGCTACAAGTGCTAGCAAATCAAGGTACTGCTATGTTTAAGAAAATGAAGTTTATTAGTACTTGGACAGATCACTGCTTTAGCTTCCACAATTAAGAGGTACCTAATCGGAGCGAACACTGGCAGGCATTCCTTTGAATACTTGGACAGAGACGAAACTATCAAAGCCCATTTGGTGGGAGGAGTTGATGCTTTTATAAAAGTTCCCTCAGGATGGCCTTTGACGAGTTCGCCTCTGAAATTGACTTCCCTCCAGAGCTCAAACCAGCTCAAGGAAATCTCCTCGAGCATTCTCTGCAAGATTCAGGTAATCAATTTAACTTCTTTGCCATATAGCCTGCCCAAGGAAAGGAATGATTGTTCTAGCCTTAGTGAAGCTGACAATAGTACTTGAAGAATGAAGTGATGAACCCAGTTCCATCTCATTTACTGTTCCTGCTTTCTGATCTGAAATCCACAGGAAGCAGCAAATTCCTTAGATTCACGAATTCGACACCAGCTGCTAAGCTTCGCTGACGAAATTGAGCAAGAGGTGCTGTCGAAAAGTGCAGCTGGAACACCACCATGATAATAATTCTTCCTCTTGAAATTTATTCATTTCAGTAGGATGTCAAGATTGTTACTAATCTGCGACGATTATATATTCCGTTTTCAAAATGCATGGTTTCTCAGGTCATATAATCTTCATCTGGTTTCATCTTGGTACGAAAATCATCATGTATTTTAGACCTCATGTAACTACATAATACACTTGACACTTCGTGACCACGTTTCATATTGACGTGACATGAACAAAAAACAAAATATTTTGTAAAAGTCAAACGAATTTGAATCTAGGTAAATTTATCGGCAGGAAAATTTTTAAGTCAGTAACAGTGATTTGATGATCAGAAGAGCTTGCTTAAATCGGGAGGAGAAAGAGTTTGATATGTGAGAATTCGTGCAGCAAGTTCAGTCGGATGGAAGCTGTCAAAGAACAAGTACTTGTCAGCAGCAGCGCAGGTCCCTGGGACTACACAGAGCACCCCACTCTCTATGTTCCCGGTGCCACAGCACCCTCTTTTAACCTCTTCAATCCCGTATGGAGCTGGATTCTCGGCGAGGGAAACGAAATGATTGTAGAGCTCGAACTTCACAGCTTTGGTTCCTGGAAGCTCTTGATTCATCTGATCAACCATCAGAGACAGCTTGGAGTTGAACAGCCTGATGCGCCTGTTGAGGCTCTCCGAACACTCCCTCCTCGGTCCACCCTGCGAGGATCGTATCGCTGGTGCACACCCCGTCGGAGGTAACTCCACCAACCCAATTCTTCTTGCTCCAGCTTCATATAGTTTCTGTACGTTCGCATAGATTATAAATCAATCAGTTTGCTATTTCATTATAGCATTGGAGTTGGTCTGGTTCTGGTTCTGGTCTTACCTTGTGGAAGTCTAGAGCTAGGCTGATCATAAGATCGGTGTAGGATTCTTCGGTGTACCGGTAGTCGACGGTTGGGTACGTGTTGGTGAGGTCATTGCTGCCCATGAAGATGATGTATGCGCTCTGGGAAATGATTTCTTGTGTTCTTTCTGGGCCAACGCTTGCATTGATCCTCTTTATGTACTCTTTGAACATGTTTAGTTGAGTCATCATCGGTATTGCGTTCTTCACGTCAAGAAAGCCAGAAAAAAAAAATGAAAGAAAAGACCAACATTAAACTGATGTAGTAGATCAATTAATATGATGCATAAGCCACACCAAGCAATGGCGGAGGAGTACCGATGGAGCAACGACTCACCATTTTTTGGGGTGTTCGAGGGTCGTAACCGGAACCAGCAGAAGCAAAACACACGCCAGTAAGCAGTTCTTGGAGGTCCAAGCTTGGATCCAAATATGGTGGCAAAAGTTGTTTCACTCCCAAGACTTGAGCTGAAAAAAAGTTGTGATAGCAGAAATTGAGAAATACAGAGGCTTTTTTCATTCAGACATCTGGAATAACAGATGGAGAAGTTGGCTACACGTACCAATGTAGTCGGCGACTCCTTTGGCATTGCTGAACCTGCCGGTGGCTCTTCCGCCGGCGAAGTCTCGGCCGTAAGGTGGGAAGTTTCCCTTGGCGATGGTGTGGACGTAGTTGTTGTTCCCTGTATCAACCAACGAGTCTCCGAACACGAACACTGCTGGCACTTGATTCTTCTTATTATAGCTCTCTGCGGCGGCGGCGGAACAAATCAGCAGTGCTAAGATGCAAGCAAACAGAACATGCAGAGTCGCCATTGGAAGTTGAAAGGAAGAAGATGATCGATATACTTGGTGGAGTGCTTAAGGGGTTTATATAAGGAGAAGAGAAGGAAGGGTATGGTTCGAATCGTATCTCTGGAAACAAAGTCGTCGGATCTAACAGCTCAAGAACAGCGCTGTCAGCTGGGATTTTACATATTTTCATCACATGTGTCCTCCAAAATACCTGCAGGCGATAAGAGTGGCAAACTAGTGCTCATGCACGTTTCCGTATACATATTAGATAGAACTCGTGCCCTCCTGATTATTTAAATAGTAAGTTATTTTTTGCATAGATACGACCAGCGTAGAATCCATGGTTGCTTGCGCTTCGTTGCAGAAATTTGAAGGGTTCTTAAGTTACACTAGCTTCTTGCCCGGCCTTTGGCCGGGATAACTGTTGTTCAGGGTTGGTTGTGCCATCCACTTTCCCTTTTTTTCGTCTACGGGTATTTGATGGGTCGTTTATTATCCTTATCGTTATACTGATTATATGTGTCTCCATTTTCTGTTGATGTTTTGAAATTACCATATATACTCTTGACAGACAATAGTTTGGATGTAGATTATTTAAATTTACAATGGTTAACACATCATAACATAGTCATTTGGGACCAACGTTGTACTTCACAAACATGAGTATGATGAAAAACCTACAGTTTCGTAATATAATTAAAGTATCGTTGTTGTGTGATGACTATGTGCATAACTGAATGTGCCGAGTACTTGGGAGCTTTTCATTTGTTTGTTGCTACTTGAATTTGCAATGATGTGACGGCCAAAAATTTCTCGTTGTTGTTCGAAGCGGGCATTAGTATCCTGGTTCGTTCTTGTAAGCATCGAGTGGGGGATGGTGTGCCTTCAACATCACTTTAAGACTCTGGTTTGAGGGGCTTTGTAATCCAAGTACACTGGACAAACAAACCAAAGAATTATGAATAAAGATAACAGCTTTATGAACAAAATCAGCAACCCATAAACTTGAATGCCAATGTCAATGATCAGAGTCCCCTCACCAGATCTTTCGGTACGCCACTGGTGACTGGTCACATATGTAATTGGGGCATACAGGGCATCGGTTCTGATCATAGAGACCAAAGCTAGACATACAAAGCAATATGAACTTTGCCATTCTGCACATAAGAAGTAGAAGAAGAATAAGCGAAATATGTACTCGTGGTTGTATCATGGGTGTGTGAAATCTATAAGTGCTTATATTTTGTGGGAGCAGCGAATATCAAACAGTAGTGAAGCCGAAAAAGAGAAACAACAAAACCAAAAGGAACACTGAATTTCTAGGCGATGAGACAAATAACACAAATTCTCAACCCTAGAATCAAACAGTAATCGATTGAGAAACAATCAAAAGCCAAACAGAGTCCTGAAACATCATTCTTTCTCCGGCTCATCAAAACAGAACCCATAATCCAAAACTAAACGCTAAACATCCCCAGGATAGGGAATACAAATCCCACAAGTTGCACAAATTCTTAATACTGGAATCAAACAATAGCGATTAGAATTATCAAATCAAAACCCGAACCCCAAAATTCAGTGGCGATAAGCACATCCAGGAAAGGGAAATACTAACCGAAAAAACAGTAATAATATCCAAATTACCTGCAGAATCACAAAGAAGTCGAAAGGGGGAATATTATGATGTTGGTGGCATTCGAAAGACGATTGCCTTCGGAGGAATCTGGGGTCTTCCATACGGTGGTCATGAGAAACGAAGAGGAACTATTAAGGGGGACGATAGGAAGGGCATACCATCTCTGTGGCGGAAAAGGGAAATCAATTGACGGAGGAAAAGGGAAGAAGATAGAAAGTGAAAGAAAATTGGGAAGTTGTCGCCGTTTGAGTTAGAAGAGTGGAAATCTGGGGAGTTATGGAAGGCGGATATGTATGGTGAAAATTTGGGTATGGACCTTTGTAGATTTAGTGAGAAGAAAACTGTTGGGGTTGGGAAGAGGGGGGATAGGGAGGAGGGGCCTGGTTTTTTCACGGGAGAGGAAGAAGGGAGCTTTTTAAGGGGCTGACGTGGGTAGTTGCATTGAGACAGGATTTGAGATTGTAAATAAAAAAAATAAAAAAAATACAAATGTACTCCGAAAGTTGCGGGGAGGCATTCAGTGAGAAAGCCTTTATAATATTTTATGATTATTATTATTATTATTATTATTATTATTAAGCCACAGAATTATTAAGCCACAAATTTACACAAAATTCGGGCACTGTTCATCAAGATATTTTCGGAGTTACTGTTCATAATGGGTCAACAATATTTTGTTGTTGTTTTTATTGAATCCTATGTAAAACTGCTTTGGGTTGACCAAGCAATAACCATTGGATCTCAATTTTCCAGCCGTTGGATCCCTATTGCTACACGTCCTCTCTCCTGCGGTTTCGTTTCTCTCTTCGTCTTTTCCCATTTCATTCCATCTTCTCCCCAATTTATTTTCCGCCCTTAGAATCAATAGACCCAAACTAAGGCCTCGGCGGCGGTGGGGAGTCCGATTCAACGATTGAAGAAAAGCACCCAAAGTTCGTTGTCGGCCGTATCGGATGAGTGTTCAGAAAGAAAAAGATTATCGCATCCCCTCTGTTGTCTGAACCTCTCTTTTCCCTCCGTCTTTTGCCGTTGGCTCTTCAATCTGTCTTTTCCCACTTCCTCGATTCAGTTGAAGCAGGCCTGAGGGAGCTGAAGCTCTCCCCCGCTCTCTCGCTACCGCCTCCTCAACCTGTCTCCTTCTAGGATGACAAGACCGGCAGCGCAAAGTAGTTCCACATCTAGGAACTCAGGCAAAGATTTCCCCAGTTGAGACTTGGAATTGGGTAAGTACACAACTCTCCAAGACTTACCGAGCTCGACCACAATTTGATTCCTTTAATTTTTTTTTTATAGATTTCTCATTAAATTGACAATGCTTTTTGACAAGCCTGCTTCTTTCACCCTTAGGTTATACTTATATGAACTCAAGAATAACAGAACCATCTTTTACCTATATCAAGGGTAGGGATTTTTAATTTGAGATTCGTTGTGGAGGGTGGTGATAGAGCCCAGTGGTTTGTCCCTATAATCAATCATTTGTTTGCTCATAAAAAATTCCTAGACATTGAGTTACCTCTTGGACTTCCAAGCAAACCTAGCTCTGCAAATTCTTATTCAAAGCGACTTTATATATCCAATTCTGGAATAGCTTCTTATGAATAGAGTTCTAGGGCAATGGTACACCCAACTTTTTGAGTTTGATAATTAAGTGTCTAAAAAAGCAAGGTTATTTCCAATCTACACTGATGAAAAATTGATCTGGAGTTTAAAAACACTATAGATGATTGCTTTGTGTTGGTTGTTATTTTTATTTCCCACTTTTGATTGTAGTGTATAAAAAAACAAGATCCTTTGTGAATTCTGATGTACAATGAACAACTGATTTTATTTTGATACATTGGATTTGAGCTGTACTAAATGTCTAATACCAAGTTAAAGCCTCTGTAGTCAAACAGTTACTCATGTTGCAGCTGTGAAGTTTAGAGCTGTCTAATTGTCAAGTTATTATGGTTTGTCATTGGTAGTCAGAGTAATCACTATGAGTTGTATTACTTATAAAGGCTGCATTTGTAGTCCCCATCTACCTCCTAATCGAGATAACGTGACTGATTGGTTTGCAATTCCGTACGGGGTGGACTTGATTCAAATTGAACAATTAGGGTGCTAATATGGTACTGCTACAACATGTGAATCGATTCATGTTTTGCTACTTCATCTCTACCATTGTGAATGGACCAAACCTTACCTTATAACTCATTTTAGAGTTCAGACTCACTCAACCATATGATAGGAGGTAGGTGAGACTCTATTTGCAATCCGAAAAGATTCCTGGAGTTGCAATGCAAAGGCACTTGCTCTTTTCATTGATAGACTTTATCAGCAGGACTAATTGCCATGGTTTTCATCTTCGCTTTCCCATCATACTATGTAATGCATTCTTCCATCCAAAACAGAACCATATAGAATGCCTGAGAGCTCAGTGATTTTGTCAATACTGTCAGGATTTATCTTCTTGATGCTTCTAAAACAGTGTTCCCCAATTTGAGCTTCAATAAGTTGTTGCGTCAGTTAGTTATGGTGTTTCCAGAGAAGATAAAGGAGTAGCTTAATCAAACATATGAAACAGTTGAGTGTGATGATGTCAAGTAAAATCAATATGGTGGCATTACTCCTTTTAGCAGTTCATTGTTGGATTTAGGATATGTTTGTGAGTATTACAACTTAAGCTGAAAGATTTTTCATCCACCAAAGAGTCACGTCACATGTTTGACGTTTTATGGTGTTGTTTGTTGGGTATTAAGTAATCTCTGGTTCCACTGGACCAGAGAAATCAAGGGGAAATAGTGAAACTGAGATTCCACTAATTCAGGTTTCAAATATATGTGTATAAGTATTCAGTAATAGGAGAAATCAAATACCCTATTGAATATAACTTTTGTATGTGGTTTGCTGAGATTACCGTCAAGTGTCACTACCTTAATTTTGTCAGCAACACATGGAATCAATGAGAGGAGTAAAGGGGAGAAATTTATGAAACTCCCCATACATATCTATACAGATGACCATATGAATAGTGGCCTTACGATGAGCTTTATCCCACAATGTAGTTCGTTTTTCAGTTCTCAAGGTACTTTATTGCTTTGTTGTAAAAGCTTTCTGTTTTTTTATAGTTTTTAACCACTTTCTATTAACAATCATCATATAAGCTAACAGAGAATTAATTTATTATAGAATCTTCAGCCGACATGAAAAATATGAGAAATGGAGTACATATAAATGGAGAAGAAAGATGGAATCCGTATTCATGAAAGGTGAGTCAGAGAATGTGCAAAAAGGTCTTCTTATTCATGAAACCAGTAGTTAACTCTTTTATTTAGTTTCACATGACATACTGCCATGTACCAATGTACAACTACCATTAACTGCTTAATGTTTAGCATAAATGTAATTTGTAACAGTACGGAGAATTTCACAGCTTGCACTGCTCTACCAAATACTTCCAAATTCCGTGGCGTAGCACGGGCTTACATCCTAGTAGAGATATAATATAGATCACTGGTCTAATTCGGTGGTGCACAAGGATGAAGTCAGGATTTTGGGGCCGGAGGACAAAATTGGGTCAAAATTGAATAGTTATGCGTATTCTTTACTTCAATAAAATAAGTTAAAGTAATGCATAAATTTAAAAAATTTCATAAAAGGAATTAAGAGTTTACTATGAATATGCTAGTTAAATTATGTTGTTTTCATACCGAGTATGAATCAAACAAAATAAGATATCTAATGACACAAATAATGAAGGTAATGACTATAATAGTCAAAAAAACATTTGGATTCTTTTTTATTATTTAAACCTATCGAAATACTAAGAATTAGCCAAATGTTAACTTTCCGTTAGCAATTTTGTTAGTAATATTAATTTTACAACATGAATATGCTAGTTAAATTATGTTGGTTTCATACCGAGTATGAATCAAACAAAATAAGATATCTAATGACACAAATAATAAAGGGTAATGACTATTTATTAGCCAAATTTTTTTTGGATTCTTTTTTATTATTCAAACCTATCGAAATACTAAGAATTAGCCAAATGTTAACTTTCAGTTAGCAATTTTGTTAGTAATATTAATTTGACAACATGATACTGACTTGGAAGAGACACATGAAGGTCAACACCCATCAACATTTTCCCCATATCAATAGCTAATGGGTGAAGGCCATGGGAAGAAGCAAGTTCGAGCTTGATGATGGCGGGGTGGACGACAAACTGAACTCTCCACATTGTTTTACGTGAGACATTTGAAGAAGGTTTTTCAAAAAAATTGTGATGAACCAAGAGTTTGACGATTTTGATAAATCGCTGATAATGTGCATGGATTTTAATGGTTTCTGTTGAGGGTGTTACTAAATACTCCGTTCACAGACTAAGTAGTAGGGCGCACAATCGGCGATGCGTGACGCGCGATACGCGCTACAGGTATATAAGGG